CCACTTTTAGGAAATATCCATGTCCAAAACTAAAATTGTCGAGAAAATTGTGAGGTTTGAACTCTTCTTAACTGTCATTGGTCAATTATGTAAAAGTGACCAAAAGGAAGACATTCCAAAACAAGATTTTTCCAGAATTGAATTTGAAGAAACACACACCCTCACCAACCGTTTGATTTTTACGAAATTTCGAAATTACGCAAAACTCTAGTCGCGGAATTGCGCAAAACTTGAGTTTCGCAAAAGCGGAATAGGGCAATTTTGCGCGAAATGACTTTTGCGAATGATTGCGCAAAATTGTTGTTTTTTCGCGCAAAACTGATGCACAAAGAAAGAAAAATTTGGGTTTCGTTCCGCAAAAGTTGCGCAAAAGTTTTGCAAATTGAAACCCTACCCTCTTTCCAGAATCAAGATAATAATAGTGCAGTGAAGGAGGGGTTTCTCTACACTTCTCTTCCCCCTCCCATTTGCCAGAAGAGACAGGAGCTCTCTAAACCTTGGATTAGAATACTGATGGGTGTGCACCATGCACTATGATACTAGTGTATACTCTGCCAGCTGCAAGGAAAAGATTGATTTAAAAGAGGCCGTATTCTGAAGCACTGTCTCTGAGATTAACTTACAAGAATCGAAATTCTTTTATCGAAAATATCCACTCCTTTCCTAACCTTACTTTATCCCATTTGTAATTATTAAGGCAGAATTCTGACAATTATAATATTCTCCGAATTTTCAAGCCCGCTTAGTGCACTGAAATTTTTTTTACAACCTATAAGAATATTGATTGATGAGTGAACCTGAACCTTCAGTTAGTTGAGTCAGCATTCCTGGAAAAATGAAAACTGCAGATCAGCTAAAACACAATTCACTGCACCTTTTCAAAATTGTGTTAAAAATTTTTAATTAAAAAAAAATAAATTGAAAAAAACTTTTATTCCTGGATATTCTAATTAAGGTATGGGGATAGGAGGACAGCAGGTTGTTGGTGTTGTTGATGCTCTGCATGAAGCTGTTGGCGCTCAATACCCTGATGATGCATGTACACAGGTCTTTTCTAGCAAATTTCTTCACCACCTCTGTAAACAAAAGTAAAACGAAACTAATACTTCGAACAGATAGATAAAAGCCCTTTTTTATAGCTCATTAAGTAAATGATCGCTCAAATGGTATTTTTTAATCTTAATATTTCGGCAACCTGATAATTTAAATTGTCAATTCTACTTGTTTAATAATGTGAAATACAAAACAACAATGGTATACAAGTTACATGATTAGGTTAGAATGGTAAATAAATTAGAAAATAGAAGTCTCACTAAAAGGATTGACAACACAAAAAAAACTTTATTTTAGGAAAAACGAGAAAAAACTTATTTTTTACATATGCTTAACGTTTCAAATTGCAACTTTTTAAACCAGATATTTTCCCAAATTTTTGGAAGTTTCTTAAACGTTTAATTTCTAAAAATTAACGAAGATTTGATCAGATATAGATGTGCAAGACAGGCTCAGAATGTGATTAAAACTGGTTATTAGGAACCTAAAACAAAAATTCAAGAATCTCTCATATTTAATTTTATAATGGTAGCAAGAATGTAAACCGTTGTAATGCCTGTATAGATTTAATTTTGTCCTCAGCTTTATCAAGGGACAAAATATATATTTGAATATTAGAAGTTTTTTTCTTCAAGTAAATTCAAATCATAATTGATCAATGATCATGTCGTTCTCATGGGGGAAAAAATAATAAACTTTTTCTTCATTTTGTAATTATTTTTGATTTATTTTTTGAAGTTTACTAACTATATTTAAAATTTTTGGAACGAACAAAATTGTAATTCCCTTGTAAATCTTAATGCAATCAGTTAGAATTTTTTAATTATATTTTTATTATTAGATCGTTAATAGGGCTGGAAATCTTGGAGACCGGAATTTCCCGTTAACCACCGCATATGCATCGCTCAGAATGATTAAAGATCACATTTAATTATAATGGTTTTTCAAGAAACTGGAAGTATCGTAGATTGACGAATGAGGAACAGAACATTTTGGGATGGAAATAAATTGGTTTTTTCGTTTAACAATGTTCACATGTGAACATTCAATCGCGTATTCTATAATCTCAGTTTTTAAAAAAAGGGATCTTTATCAGACTAAGCTGAAACTTCCGGCATTGCTCGTTCTAAAAACACTTTGAAAAAATGAAAATCTGAGAAAAGACTTTTAAGCAGATGTTGCACTCTCCTTCCATATATTCTACCTCCTCAGATACGTAAACCTGGGGGTCGCGGGGTGCAAGACAAACTGCGAGTCTCACATGGGTTCGNGAATCTTAAAGGTGATTCATAGATTTAAAGAGACAGCAGACGTAATTTCGAGTAACTTTTTATTTATAAAGTGGCATATCTGATTCACAACGGTACCCTGAAAACCTTTGGTTGGCCGAGGATGATTAAAAAATCCATAATTTTATAATTCTTATTAATTTCAATTCCTGCGTTTTCTCGGTTTCGACGATGATATGTTGTTTATTGGTTGGACAATTAAAAACAATTATATTTGGAATCTGTGTCAAAATTGGTTACAACTCTGCCGAATTTAAATACAGGAACTGGATTGATTGAATTTATCTACCACTGATTCGGATTCAAATTGTAAATCCCCGATTCAACGTTAAAGATTCATTATTTGTTTAAAACTGTTCAGTATTTGAACCGGGGGTAGGTAGTTCAGCGACCTCTGCTGCAGATACCATTATCTTCCATGCAGTAAAATCCAATAACAAACGAATTGGCGGTTTTTATTGTTTTCAATGGTTTCCTACAACAGTCAAAACTTCTTCCAAATTATTGAAAATCTGATCAAGCTCTAAAAAGTTTTATTCTTATTTAGGGCTTGGTGGCTGGGCTCTGGTCTAGCTTGTCAGGGATGGGTCGATTTATTTCAAGGTAATTCTTGTAAAGGAGTTTAGTCTTTGCCAAACACATTTTTTTTCCTAATACTTATATCTTTCCAACCTGATGGTGTAAACCTTTGATATTAAAAATTATTTTGTCTAACATAATCTCCAAGGTCTAACGACATTTGTTTGCCAACATATAGGAATTAGAAATTCAGAGTTTGTGGCGAAGACGCAATTCGTTTTAATCTTCTCTCAGCAACATATTTTTTTTAATTTTTACAGTTACATATTTACTTTTTTTAATCCATGTAAAAGTAAACAATGGTAATCAGAAAACCGGAATTATTCTTTTTATTCTTTGGTCAGGATTTTGAAATTTTGTTTATTTACAAATTCCTGAATGTTAATTGTTCAGGGAACTTTTTCAAAACAAATCGGACAGACACAAAATCAAAGATCCTTTAAAATGATTTAAAGAAGTTGATTACCAATAAAAGTAATCTAAAATGTTGTCAGTATAGTAAGGAAAAAATCAGATTTCGAGTTCGATGATTTTGAATGTTTAGTAACTTCACCCTTCAAGCTTTTTTTAACCTGTCGGGCTTTCTCTGGTCCATGAGAAAAAATAAACAATCAACCTTCAGCTAACAGCAATGAAAAGTTTTTCATCTATAAACATAATAAAGTTTTTAATACCAAGATGATAATGTTGGTTTTCCAGGGCTGGTTCTGGATATCTTGTGGATAATTTTGGGTTCAGTCTGGTCGCAGCTATAGCTTTTAGCTTGCAGGTCAGTTTAAAATTTTAGGTAGAAATTTATCATTTAGATTGTTTTTTACTTTTATGCATTGGAATGTTTATTACATATACCAATAAAAATGATAACAGGCTTAACTATGAATAAACAAGTAGAAAGAATGAGACCATATTTTTTCTTTTCCTCTTTTTTTGTTGATGTAATAATTTCCACAACAATTATTTTTATAAAAAACTTAATTAAAGTTTCGCAAAAAGTTATTTGTATGCTTTTTGGAATTAAAATCAAGTTATGGTCAAATACATTGATGTTTATACTTAATAAGCAGAAATTTAATTATTTTATGCAAATACTTTGATATTTTAAAATTGACCGCTCGATTTAACAATAATGTCAATTTTCAAAAACCTCCGTTTCGTGTGAGCAATTTTTATGGTTTAGCAAATTAACATAATGTGGCCTATATTTCATTTATTTTTCTATTTATAGATGATCATTTATTTACGCATAAACATTAAAATACATATTGATTTTGACTTTTATGTTGATAATGAATTTATATGATTAATTGATAATATTTGAAGCATAACAATATTGGGTTGCAAACATTTTTGTTCTATGGAATATGTAGAGATCGTATCTTTTAGGAAACATTTAGATAACAATCTTTTCCTCTTTTTTTGTTGATGTAATAATTTCCACAACAATTATTTTTATAAAAAACTTAATTAAAGTTTCGCAAAAAGTTATTTGTATGCTTTTTGGAGTTAAAATCAAGTTATGGTCAAATACATTGATGTTTATACTTAAATAAGCAGAAATTTAATTATTTTATGCAAATATTTTTATTTTTTAAATTTGACCGCTCGATTTAACGATAATGTCAATTTTTAAAAACCTGCGTTTCGTGTGAGCAATTTTTATGGTTTAGCAAATTAACATAATGTGGCCTATATTTCATTTATTTTTCTATTTATAGACGATATTTACGGATAAACATTAAAATACATATTGTTTTTTACATCTGATAACATATCTTAAATTAAGGTTTTTTGACTTTTATTTTGATAATGAATTTATATGATTAAATGATAATATTTGAAGCATAACAATATTGGGTTGCAAACATTTTTGTTCTATGGAATATGTAGAGATCGTATCTTTTAGGAAACATTTAGATAACATTTAAATTTTGTGGAAAAAAAACCAAAGAAAGTATTCAATTTTGTATCTAAGAAACCAGAGTTTGTTGAATTTAAGAAAAAGTTAGAATCAAAGAACTTGCCATGGCTAGTTCCAGATACTTTCTACGAGCCATCATGAAAAAATATAACCATGCCTCTAGTAAGGGAGGGAACCCCTGGACGCCATGAGCCTCTGTTATGCAGACACGAGCCTCCCAGTTCTTAGTCAAAGTTTAAAAATTTTAGAATAGACCCTAACCTTAAATGGTAAGGGTGCAAAGGAGGTTTTACAAATAGGAACACACCCAGCCCGATACACAAGAGAAGTATCAAAATCAGTCATGGCTCTTCCACTGCGTCTGGTGTTCAGAAATTAACCATTTGTGTTCGAGGCGACTGTTTAATTCGTTTCTACGCTTTCTGTTAATTTTAAATATTTGTTTCAGGGACTCCTGGCTGTAGTCACCTTTTTATACCTGGTCTTTTTTGAATGTCATCTTACACAACGGAACAATCTTAGGTTAGAGTTAGATTAGTTTAACTGATTAATTCAAAATGGCAGACATGTCATATTGTATTTGTACAGGGTGTCCCAACAGCCACACCAATTTCATTGTCTTAGTTCATGGGACATTTCATAAGATTAAATCACTTAGTTAAATTGTATTGTTAGAAATTAGAATCTGATTAGTCGTCAGATGTCCGCTGAACAAATATGCAATTGTAGGCGTATAATTACTTTTCATTTTTAAAATAGAAATGATCACGATAAGAAACATTAATTCAAAGCCAATATTTAAACTTTCATTTCTAATATGGTACAAGCCATAAGACCTTACTTCATTCTTGAACTAGAAAATTTATTTCGAGTTTTGGGGGGTTGATCTGATTTGATTTTGAGGCTTAGCTTTATTTGGAATTACAATTTGGTGATAACCCTTGATATCAGATAACGCCAATGGAATGCCATAGCCTAAAAACGTTTTCATTATGTATTTAAAAAAATGCAATCTTTAGATTTGGTGATGTAACAATTGTAGAGAAAGGAAGAAGGAGGGATGAGAAGGTAAAAAATAATAATATATATATATATATAGATTAAAGAGACTGCAGACTGGTCAAGTGGTCCTGAATTTATATAGTTGCATGTCTGATTGACGATAGTTCCATTTAAACCTTATTCAGATCATCGACAGCAAACTAAACCGCGAGACTATAGAATGTAAACAAGCGCACATATTTCGAAATATTTCAAGTTTATTGCGGATTTTAAAAATTCTGTTGAAAATATTTATTTTCTTTTTCTCACGAAAGCAAATAATAATTTTTTAAAAGTAAATAATGATTTTTTAAAAATGAATTAGCTTGCGGATGAAATACAATAAAAATGGTTGATGAGTGAAAGGCTTAAATGCTACCGTCGTCCCTTTAATTCATTGTGTATCGGCCTGGCATTTTTAAATTCATGGTTATCATTATTTTTTAAATTTAAACCTTTCACGGTGTCCAGATTGTGTGAACTAGAAAAAAGACGACATTTAATAGTATTCATAGATAATGGTCCTCTTTCAAAAATAAAACTCGAGGATAAAATAGATTAATTCATGAAAAATGTGTTTATTCTTACCACATATACAAACATATTTAATTTCTTTTCTGATTTAAGTTTATTTGGGGTTCTTGAACACTAGAATACTTAACCTATAATTTACCCCTTAGTATGCTACATAGTTTAAACTACCTGCACATAATCCAGACTGGACAAACACCAGGCTCGAATATATTTAGAAGACGACATTCTATAAGTCCAGTGAAGCTAAGAGGATACATATTTGTAAATTAAGATACATAAGTACCCCTTGCAATACAAATTTGTGTCATTTTATAACGTAAATGTTTACAATTTGGTTTGGTGAGTGGACGGATCGGGTTCAACGGAGGTACAGTTTGTCAGAGACGACTTTTACAACAGGGTTATATTAGGGGGTATGGTTCACACACATATACAAACATATTTAATTTCCTTTCTGATTTAAGTTTATTTGGGGTTCTTGAACACTATAATTTACCCCTTAGTATGCTACATAGTTTGAACTACTGCCTAGTTGAACTATAGTTAAAGTGCAATACAGTTAGCAGATCAGAAACAAGTTTTTATTTCAATTACTTTATTTTATACTAGCTGAAGTGCACGGCGTTGCCCGTGGAATTAAAATTTTTAATTTGTTTAGCCTTTGTTAACCCAGGATACCCCTGGGTTCCCTCAACATATATACGAATGTCTTGTTTTACTTTATAGATTAACATAATTTAAAGATAATCATGTTCAAATGAACCAAGGTTTTTAGGCTCAGCTACATTTTGCCTAGTCACAATTTGCCTAGTCACATTTTGCCTAGTCACATTTTGCCTAGTCACATTTTGCCTAGTCACAATTTGCCTAGTCACATTTTGCCTAGTCACATTTTGCCTAGTAACATTTTGCCTAGGGTAACATTTTGCCTAGAGTAACAAAAGAGCGAATTTTTTGCCTAGTCAATAATTTTTTCACAAAGAAATTTTCATCAATCCGAGANTTACTTTATTTTATACTAGCTGAAGTGCACGGCGTTGCCCGTGGAATTAAAATCTTGAATTTGTTTAGCCTTTGTTAACCCAGGATACTCCTGGGTTCCCTCAACATATATACGAATGTCTTGTTTTACTTTATAGATTAACATAATTTAAAGATAATCATGTTCAAATGAACCAAGGTTTTTAAAACTTAAGTTTAATTGGACATAATTTTTGTGTAATTCATATTTGAGAAAAAAGTAGAGAAGTAAGGGTAGGAGTAAAGATTAGTTAAAATTGTGGTTTGCTATGAGTATAAATAATAATAATAATTGCAGTCCACCCTTATCCTCTAAGGCATATGCTTGACATTAGAATTATATTTAGTCTTGAATATGTCAGTTAAGATGGAAGAAGAAAATTATTCACATGATGGGACTGGAAATGGATTAGTAAAGTTTGGAAGTAGTAAGATATGGTAATGGGGATGGATTAGTGAAGATGAGATTTAGTTAAAATAAAGTAGACTTGTAAGCACAAAGTACATTGATAAGGTCATGTCTAAGNTAGACTAGTAAGCACAAAGTACATTGATAAGGTCATGTCTAAGTATAAATAAGAATATACAATTTAGTCGAATTAATTTCAAGGGTAAAAAGTATAAGGACCCAGCTTCCTAAAGATTTTCATTTTTTCCCTCGCTCAAATCTACTCTTTAGCTAGTATTTTCTTGATCATTTCAAATTATCAAATTTCTCAGAGAATCTTAACTTGAAAATTGAAACGCTGAAAAAACACACTTTACATCATATTTTGCAAGGCACACTTTCATTAAAAAAATACACATTTGCAATAAATTGAGGAAAAAAATGTGAATAGGAAGGTTTCTTAAATATCCCCTAAAAAAACTTGCATAATGATCTGAAACCTATATACTAAATATAATAGACTAGGATGGAATGTTTGAAAAAGAACCGTAAATGAGTATTCAGATTCACTATTCATTCATTTTTAATCATTATAGTTGTGAGCACTTAATACACTGCACAAGTTTCCCATCATTACTTCACTGGAATTATACAATCTCTAACTTTGTAGGTTGTATTTACACTTCCCTCTGAATCTTTGATGACAAGATCAGTGTTTATTGGAATACCCCACAATAGCACAGGTATAGTAAAGGTCATACTTAAAGGGATGGAATTAATTTTGTTTAGTTTGTTAGTATATTTCTCCATGCTGCAGTAAACAACTTAAAATCATAAGAATTATAACAGTTATCTGCAGCTTATTGTTATTTTTATTAACCTGTTATCTAAACAGTGTAATCAACGATTCATTTCATCTTCCAAATAACTGTTAAAATATTAAGGATGTTTAAGTTTTTGACTTAAGTGGAGTATTATACTAACAAACTAAACAATGTGAAATCCTTCACCCCCTGATAAATACACCATCTCAGATTGTTTTAAAACTAAATGCATGCATTAATAGGATGATTCAGAATTAAGGTAAAACTAATAGACTAATTTAAAAATATTAATGGGTAGCAAATAAAAATTTTAAAATAATTTCTTAAACACAATATGGTTTATACATTAAGAAGCTATATATATATACAGGGTGTCTTTGAAATAAGTGTGTTTAGGCTTTTTTAGTCTATCAAACATCGTAATATTGTGTTTATAAATGCTTCTAGTAGGTTCAATCTCCATAAATGGATGGGTCGTCGTTGAAATGCCGTTTTATCAAAATTGTGCATAATATTCGAAAATGTGCTCGGCCCAATTTCCGAAAATGTTAATTACTTTTTCATCCACTATACATTGTATTGTTGTATTAAAAAGTGTTAGAAGAAGGTTCAATGCCCATAAATTGGCGGGGGGGGGGGGTCGTCGTTGAGACTATTTACTCTAAAATGCCGTTTTAACCTTCAAAATGTAATCGAAATGTAGTCGGTCCCTTTTATTAAGATTTAGAACAGAAATCAAACATCTTTTTCGCCATTTATTTTTAAAAATCCTCAATTTGTTTGAAAATGAGACTGCGCACATTTTCGAATATTAAAACTACTTTTAAAGGTTAAAACGGCATTTTAGAGAAAAATGTTTCAACGACGACCCCCCCCCCCCCATTTACAGGAATTATACGTGCTGGTAGCACTTGTTAAGACAAAACAATGACGTTTATTAGGCTAAAAAACCTAAACACACTTTTTTTTAGAGGCACGTATATATATGAATCTGAAGGAAAATCCAAGTATATAAAGTTTTAGATTCAAACATTTTTTTTTTTTAATAGTAAATATTTACCTCCTAACCATTATTTCATGACTTTTAATGTTTAACAAATAATTTTTTTTATTTTTTCTATTAGTTGGTGTCAAAATCATGTGTCAAAATCATGTGCCAAAATCATGTGTCAAAATCATGTGTCAAAATCATGTGCCAAAATCATGTGCCAAAATCATGTGCCAAAATCATGTGCCAAAATCATGTGCCAAAATCATGTGCCAAAATCTTCTTTTTAAAATGTTTAAATTGAGAGACCTTCACATATTAATGCTTATCCCCATAGGACATGATGGGAAAAAAATTCTTTTATTCTTTCGTTTTGTAAATTTTTTTGTTTGAAAAAAAGTTGAAGATGGTACATACTTATTTTTTTAATAGTTGCTGAATTTAAATCTAAAATCTATTCCAAGACTGATTATTATCTTGAAGAGTGTGATTTCTTCATCAAAGATAGTTTTGAGTGTCCATATTTTAGAACCAATATTAAATACAGCACTCATATACATTTTTGTAGTTTTGTTTTAACAGACATTTATAGTTTTTGGTCTTGCGATCTAGTGACAGAGAAGTTGTTTTTAAAGGGAGTGATAAAGATATCTGGATTGGAACAAAAACCAGATATTTTTTTCCCCAGCCTTTCAATCAATTAATCATTTCTTTGAAAACCGCGACCAAAAGGTATAAATGTCTACTGAAAAAAAAATTATATAAAATATGGATACTCAAAACTATGTTATCATTGATTTAATAATCATTCCCTCCCCCTCAGTTTTTTCAAAGATATCTCGATAATTTTTCTCTAGGTGTAAGGATAGCCAATTCCATGCCACCGAAAGCTATTCCGTTTCCAGAACAGGAAAAGAGACATCGCTCCCGCTCTGTTCGATAAATTAATTTTAATTATAAATATATCTATATATTATATATAGATTGATGACAAGGGCCTAACATTAATTGAAGTAATTTTTACAACATGCATTATGTCATTCAGATTTTATCTCAATTTTATATATATTTTGGTAGTTTTAAATGTCCATATCTTGTAATATACATTATTATTATGTTTTAATTTTAATTAATAAATTGTAAAAAGCAATGCATATTTTTTTTGAAGTATGTCTTGATTAAATACCCGAGGTCAATACTTATACTGCTAATCTTCAATATCTTGAGTCTAGACTTCATGATTCATGCTCAGAAACTTTTAATTAAAGCGTAGAATATTAACTCTATATTTATTAAAACTGTTCACTTGATTTCTCCCGAATGTAAACAAACTCAGTGCCGCTCATGCGAAGCTGAAACCGACTAAGACTAAGACTTGATTTGAATATTTTGATTTTCTTTTTGGTCTCTATAAATTTCGCTTTTACATCCACGACAAAAACTATTTTTCAATTAATCTCAACATGATAAGACAGTTTTAAACGATTAGTTATTAATTTAATTGAAATTATTAAAGCTTCTATTTTTGTTTTCTAAATTTTACTAATTATTTAAACACTACCCCCACAGTCGCAGTCTCACCAAAATAATAGGAGGGGGGGGGGATGGTGGGGGGCAAAGATCTTATAGACTGATCCAAATTGGTAATGTTGATTATGGAAAAATATTTTAAAAGTTTACCTTCTGAATTCTGAGTGAAAACATTCCTGCCTGTAATATAAAGATAGAGGTATTTGTATGACCATGTACAAATCAAACTATTTATATATATATACAAATTCACAAAACAAACAGTTTTTGTGAAATACTTGAAAGTGTGCTTTTATGGTATGCTTTGTGTAAACTTTTCTCAAGAAAATAAGTTATGTAAATTGAATGAAATAATGTTGGAAGTTTGTGAATTCTTTTTGGTTAAGTCATAAAAGGTAAATAAAAAATAAATACAGCAAGTGGAGATAAAATGCGGGGCACGGAGACAGAATAGAAGAGGTTTGGAGACCAAGCGAGAGGCAAAGAGACGGTTTTGTGGGGCTTAGAGGTGATGCTGCGTATGAGGAGGCTCCAGAGGTAATTTCATGGTTTTGAAATCTAAACTTCCAAAATAATAAATTCCGGTTTAGCTGAACTTTTGCAGCTTTGTATAAAGAAAGACAAATTTTATATCATTTCATAGGTGCATCATGTACAAATTTAATTAGACTATCACCAATTCACAAAACATAATAGTTTTTGAGAAATACTTAAATTTGTGCTTTTCTTGTATTTCATTTTTTAAGTATTTCACAAAAACCATTATGTTTGTAAATTGGTGGTAGTCTAATTAGATTTCTTCATGTCACATGATACATCTGAGAAATAATATTAAGTTTGTTTTTATTTATATAAAGCTACAATAGTTCTGCACAAGTTTAGAAAATTGTGAAATTTAGAAAAAAAATAAATAAATAAGAAGTCTAAATACCAATAAAAGTACACTTTTTAATAAAAATTGTTTGTTTCATAAAAACTTTATTATCACGTTGAATTTTTCGAAAAAAGGCTTTTGGTGGATGTAAAAGCTAAATATTTGTTTTTGGAAAATTGATTTGCTGGACGCGAGAATGAGTTGGGGAGCCTGGCAGACATAGCATGCGGCTCGGAGATGATTTTGATTGGCTAGAAAAGTTTTCTTGGAGACCATTCTGCGAATCAGGAGGCTCTGGAGGTCAGTTTGCGGGGCTCATGGATGCTTTGTAGTCTGCAATCCCTCCATCCCTAGACCAGTTCCAAGATTGTTTTTTTTAACAAAACTGAGTTTTTTTATTCCAATGAATGTACGGTCTCAAATTATTGAAAATTTTAAAAAATATTGTATGAAAATAAAAATCTTCACCTTGAAAACGTGCATGTTTTTCTTCTCTAAATATACTAATTCTAAGTAGGCAAAAGATTAGCGTGACTGTACGTCATTACTCATCTTAAAATGTATAAAATTCTGCCAGTTTCCCTTATTATCTCAGTTAATGCCTCAAATCGGAGTGGGTACAAAACGCCAAATGATACACATTTGTATGTGAAAAAAGTTTCAAATATTTTTCGAGAAAATTTGCAACTTTTCTGTTGGAATTCCTCAAAGTCAGTTTTCTGGAGAGCTGTTTTTGAACCAGTAGAACAATTACCAGCAAATTGTTAAAATGTGTATATATTATTTCAGGGTAAGGTTAGGTTAAGACAGTTTCCTGAACGAACGCTAGGCCAAGCGTTGTGTCTAGAAGTTCAAATACTTTTAATTTAAACTTTCATTTCAAAATCAATATTTTGCGCCATTATAACGCCTTCAGTGTTCAAGTTACATCTAAGATTTATGAAAATGAATATCTTCCCTTTGATTTTTGAATTCTAAAAATATTTATTCTTGTCTACATCTGGCTAAACACTGGAGAAATGATTATTGGGAAGACAAACTTTTAAGAAAAATACTATAACAATAAAACTGTCTTAACCCAACCTAACCCTGAAATAATAAACACATTTGAACTCCTAGTCGCAGCACTCGCCCCCTAGCCTGTCCTAGCCACAGCACTCGACCCAGAAACTGTCTTAACCTACCCGACTTTTTTTCTATATTTTTGCGTTTTTCGGAATTTGGTCGTTTTTATTTAATTTTGACCCTTTGGTAATTGGGCGTTTTGTTGCATCGGGCGTTTTGTTTTTGGCCTTTTTATTATATTGGGCGTTTTGTTTTTAGTCGTTTTGTACCCACTCCCTAAATTCACCATAGTTTATAGAGACGCCGAAATTAAAAAAATAAATTGTTGGCCAGAAAGTTAAGAAATCTTGTAATCTTTTATCAAACTTATAACGTGATAATTGTGAATTGGACATAATATGTAAATAAAGAGTCACTAGAAGTTCCGTAGTTTATAGTCTCTTCAAGTACAAAATAGTACTAAATATAAGATACGGACCGACAATAGCTTAACAACCAATAATCAAAATCTTCATCGTAGAATCCACAATAGTTTTAAAAAGAATTTGATCCACAAATTTCAAATTTTAGTTTATTAAATTGACCATAGCTTGTTTGCTTGTAAAGAGTTTACACAAAGCAGGCGATAAAACCAAAATTCAAGTAAAATAATTTAAAAAATCAATTGAACTTCATTAGTTTATCACAAGTAAAGGAATTTGAAAAATTTAGAAAACAAAAAAGTCTTAATCTCAAATAAAATTGACTTTTCTTTGTTTCATGTTGGAATAAAAGTTTCGTTGAAATATATAAGGGCCAAATAACTTTCATTAGAAAAACAATTGCTTAATTCTAGCAATCCAAAATATCTACAAATTATAGATTTCTAAGTCGGTATTACTATTATGAATCAAAACCGTTACTCAATTCCCATGTTTATTGGAACACCCTTGATACATAATTTCGTTTGTAACATTTAAAGTTTTATTTTGTTTGTTTATTAAGTGTGTTGTCAAGCACATCTTAGATGTTTGCAGAAAATAAGACAGGACAATAAATTTTATTGATACATTTTGCAAACAGTTGAGATATGCATCACTAATAAATAGCTCCTTTTCTGCATACAAATGTTTTCAGGGGCACGGCGTTTGCATACATATTGCATAACCCTTACTTTTTAATCCATCAAAGGGACCGGAACGTGACTCTATAGATTATACTCTATAAAAATGACTTTCAGATTTATGCTGCAGAGACAATGAAGGAACTTGTGAAAGTTTACCGACGATATCCTCAACTAAGTATTTCAGTTTTAAATTGGAAACATTTAACATGCCACTCCTTTCCATGGAGAGTCACTTAAAATTACGTCTCCACTTCAGCTTTGAGGTTTCTACATACGGGGCATTTTGGTTTAAAATATACTTTTTCTTAAGTCAAACTATCTTTAGTAAACGAGGTTTATTTAATCTGTTTGTAACAGAAAATTTTGATTAAGGACGACTTTCCAATTTTTATTTTACATTAAGTAAATGGGAGAATAGGATTTGCAAAGCCATAAAGTCTGATTTAACGGGTGGTACAGAATGACTTTACTTTCAACCCTGTATTTTCTGTTACTTAAGGTAGTAACTATAGAAAACTGTTAAATAGGTTGTTCTTTTTTTGATAAAACAACTGTCATAGGTCGCTATTTAAGTGTTTAATTCATAGGTTAATTAGAATAAGAGATAGAACATTAGATGTCGTCTTTTCAAGATATGGATGAAACTCGTTCACAATAACCCTAAGGCAGAAGCCCACAGGAATTTTGCGCAGTCGCCACAGAACAGACTCTCTCTGTCTTGTAATTCTGTGCCGACTGCTTGCGAAACTCTTTTGGGCTTCTGCCTCCAAGTCCAAAGTGATTAAATACTAAAGTGGGCCAAACTCATAGCTGGATGACGAAATTTTATGTCCCAANGATCTACAGTACATCGGACCAACAGCAGCTTGAAGAATCGTAGGACGAAAGTAACGTTGGGCGGATGTTATACAAACGAAATAAGTTTACAGCTTCAGAGATCCAAACGTTTAAAAATAAAAACAGAAAAATCCATAAATCCTTTGAGGAACCCTGTATAAATAAGTTTGAAAAGATGCTCCCATCTGATACGGTCCTTTGTTGATAATATACGTCATGTGTTCTTGTCTAAACTGGTTTCTGTTGTCTCGTCTATCTTTCAGATGCGTATATATAAATCATCTAATGCAATATTTCACAAAAAACATTGGATGCTAACCATCAGGCTAAACAAATACACCCCCTTCCCCGCCCCCCAAGCCCTTTAGAGGTTAATGTTTTTCAACTGAGCTTTTTATGGATAGGCCGATTTTTGAGATATATAGAACCGCCGTGTCGACCGTAAATTCTGGTTTTTCCTGTATTTAAAAAAACTTCATAACAAAATTCAGCGTGTAATGGTGGCAGTAACTCATAAACCACGCTCCAGAAACATTATATTTTATGAAATGTAAAGCAAAATCTGGTGGTTATTGGTTAAGTACCTAGCATTTAGCAAGTTTTATAGATAGCTAACCCGAAACGGAATTGACCCCAAAAGATTTTTTTTGCACTAACTCTCATTTTTGTCAAAATTTGCACGACTTTTTTGGTAAAAATACTTTGAATGTTTTTTTGGCAACATTTTTTATTCATGAGTTT